ACAATGTTATAAGTGAAGCTACAACATTTCGAGACAATTTACAACATTATCAGACAACCTACAACATATGTGAAAAATTTAGGATGTTGTGATTGCTTGCCTTATGAAGGACCAATTGTAAATACTTTGATTATAACTGTATATATTTATTTTATATTAATAACAAGTTATAAGTATATTTACAATAATTTTAATACTGTTTTTGATTACGTTCTGACTGATTGATTGATTTGTATAAATTTCTGATAGATGATTTTTTGTTTATATATCAATATAGCCGCATGCTTTGATTGGCGCGAACAATATGTTAAGGCAATCTACAACATTTTCAGAAAACATACAACCTTTTCAGTCAAGCTACAACATTTTCAGAAAACATACAACCTTTTCAGTCAAGCTACAACATTTTGAGACAATTCACAACATTTTCAGATAATCAACAACCCTTTCAGACAAGCTACAACATTATCAGTCAAGCTACAACATTTTGAGACAATTTACATTATCAGACAATCTGCAACTATTTCAGACCCTTTACTACATTTTCAGACAATTAAAAACATTTTCAGACAACTTTCAACATTTTAAGGCAATCTACAACGTTTTTAGACGACTTACAATATTTTCAGGCAATCTACAACATTTTCAGATAACCTACAACCTTTTCAGACAAGCTACAACGTTATTAGTGAAGCTATAACATTTTGAGACAATTTACATTATCAGACTTACAATATGTTAAGGCAATCTACAATATTTTCAGACAACCTACAACCTTTTTAGACAAGCTACAACGTTATCAGTGAAGCTACAACATTTTGAGACAATTTACAACATTATCAGACAACTTACAATATGTTAAGGCAATCTACAACATTTTCAGACAACCTATAACCTTTTCAGACAAGCTACAACATTTTCAGTCAATTTTTACTACAATTTCAGACACTTAAGAACATTTTCAGACTTTCAACATTTTTAGTTTTTAGATTACTTACAATATTTTCAGGCAATCTATAACATTTTCAGACAACCTACAACCTTTTCAGACACGCTACAACATTGTCAGTCAAGCTACAACATTTTGAGATAATTTACAACATTATCAGACAACTTACAATATGTTAAATTAATCCACAATATTTTCAGACAACCTATAACCTTTTCAGACAGGATACAACATTTTCAGTCGAGCTACAACATTTTGAGACAATTTACATTATCAGACAATCTGCAACTATTTCAGACCCTTTACCACATTTTCAGACAATTAAAAACATTTTCAGACAACTTTCAACATTTTAAGGCAATCTACAACGTTTTTAGACGACTTACAATATTTTCAGGCAATCTACAACATTTTCAGACAACCTACAACCTTTTCAGACAAGCTACAACGTTATTAGTGAAGCAATAACTTTTTGAGACAATTTACATTATCAGACTTACAATATGTTAAGGCAATCTACAACATTTTCAGACAACCTACAACCTTTTCAGACAAGCTACAACGTTATCAGTGAAGCTACAACATTTTGAGACAAGCTACAACATTGTCAGTCAAGCTACAACATTTTGTGATAATTTACAACATTATCAGACAACTTACAATTTGTTAAGGCAATCTACAACATTTTCAGACAACATACAACTTTTTCAGACAAGCTACAACATTGTCAGTCAAGCTACAACAGTTTGAGACAATTCACAACATTTTCAGATAATCAACAACCTTTTCAGACAAGCTACAACATTATCAGTAAAACTACAACATTTTGTAACAATTTTCATTATCAGACTATTTCAGACACTACATACATACATTTTCAGACAATTAAGAACATTTTCAGACAACTTTCCACATTTTAAGGCAATTTACAACGCTTTTAGATAATCAACAACCTTTGCAGACAAGCTATAACATTATCAGTAAAATTACAACATTTTGTAACAATTTACATTATCAGACAATCTGCAACTATTTTAGATACTACATACATACATTTTCAGACAATTAAGAACATTTTCAGACAATTAAGAACATTTTCAGACAACTTTCCACATTTTAAGACAATCTACAACGTTTTTAGACTACTTACAATATTTTTAGGCAATCTACGACATTTTCAGACAACCTATAGCATTTTCAGTCAAGCTACAACATTCTGAGACATTTTACATTATCAGACAATCTGCAACGATTTCAGACCCTTTACTACATTTTCAGACAATTAAAAAAATTTTCAGACAACTTTCAACATTTTAAGGCAATCTATAACGTTTTTAGATGACTTACAATATTTTCAGGCAATCTACAACATTTTCAGACAACCTACAACCTTTTCAGAGAAGCTACAACGTTATTAGTGGAGCAATAACATTTTGAGACAATTTACATTATCAGACTTACAATATGTTAAGGCAATCTACAACATTTATTAGACAACCTACAACCTTTTTAGACAAGCTACAACGTTATCAGTGGAGCTACAACATTTTGAAACAATCTACAACATTTTCAGACAACCTACAACATTTTCAGACAACTTACAACATTTTCAGACAACCTACAACCTTTTCAGACAACCTACAACCTTTTCAGACAACCTACAACCTTTTCAAACAACCTACGACCTTTTCAGACAACCTACAACCTTTACAGAAAAGCCACAACGTTATTAGTGAAGCTATACAATTTTGAGACAATTTACAACATTATCAGACAACTTACAATATCTTAAGGCAATCTACAACATTTTCAGACAACCTATAACCTTTTCAGACAACCCTTAACCTTTTCAGACAAGCTACAACATTGTCAGTCAAGCTACAACATTTTGACACAATTTACATTATCAGACAATCTGCAACTATTTCAGACACTTTACTATATTTTCAGACAACTTTCAACATTTTAAGGCAATCTACAACGCTTTTAGACGACTTACAATATTTTCAGGCAATCTACAGCATTTTCAGACAACCTACAACTCTTTCAGACATTTACAACGTTATCAGTGAAGCTACAACATTTTGAGACAGTTTACAACATTATCGGACGACTTACAATATGTTAACGCAATCTACAACATTTTCAGACAATCTGCAATAATTTGACACTTTACTACATTTTCAGACGATTGACAACAATTTTATTTAATCTACAATATTTACAGACAATCTACTTTATTATAAGAACAAGGTTTTCAAAGACAAAAGGCTATTTATTATTCAAACTGAATTGTTACTTGAAAAATGTATTAGCAGATGCCTTATATAATATTAATATTCTTTATTGATCTAAGACTTTTTGGCTCTCTTAACTTAATATAAGATTACAGTATAAACTTATCAAATGCAAAGGTTTATTTATTATTCAAAGTCAAAAGTTACTTAAGAAATAAATATTAGCAGATGCCTTGAATTTTAATATTAATTATAGATTTTAGACTTCTTGGCTCCCTTAACTTAATTTAGGATTACAGAACAAGCTCATCGAAAGCAAAAAGGTTTTTATTGCTTAAAATCAGAAGATAATTAAGAAATATATTAGCAGATACCTTGCATTTTAATATTTATTATCAATTTAAGACTTATTAGCTTTCTTAACTTAATATAAGGTTACAGAACAAGCTTATGAAAGGTAAAAGGTTTTTTGCATGCTTTTTAAAAAGTTACTTGAGAAATATATTGCCAGGTGTAAATCACTTTAATATTCATTATTGATTTAAATCTATGTCAAGTTTTAATCTCTTTCATAGCATTCAGTTTAAACTAATGCTGTAAAATTTAAAAACTATACATAATTCACCTTCCAGTCTTTACGAATGAGATTTTATAGTATACTGGATGGCAGACGTTGTCCTGTACCCACATCTACAATTTTTCAATATCATCCTATATTTTATTATAATATATTTACCGTTTGCCTAAAAATAATAATTATTGTTTTTTAAATTACTCTTCACACTAAAATGCATATACATCAATATGAGAGATGTTAAATGTAGAACTGCTTTAAATAAAATTGTAGTCTTTTAAACGGTATAACAAATTATATATAGTATCAGCGGTAAAGGTACAACATCACCTTGAATTTTTTCACTCAAAATAATTGCTAATGTTGACTTTAATTTTTATAATCTTGTATCATATTTTAACTGGTTTTTAGTAATAATAATATCTGAATTACATTAATATACATTATTACCAGGGATGCTCCGGGGTTCTTCAGCCCCTCGCATGCAATTTTTTTTAGCGAAAAAAATGCAAAGAAATTATATATTGCTAGAATTATATTGAAAAAAAAACTATTCGAAAATTTCATATCCGAATCTTGTGTTGGCGCCCCCTAAGGCGTGCGCTCGTGTTTTTCGCATACTTAATTTTATATTTTAAGTGAATTAATTCCTCAAATCTTGTTCATATGTGTATCATTCAATCTGCCATACATATACTTTATATTATATCATTCTAAATTCAGGCACATCTCAGCTGCTTTTTGCCAATAATAATGTAGACTTCTCAATTTTTTATTCATAATCATGAATTTATTATACATATTCTAATATTGTCTAGACTCATAAGTAAATTGAAATTTTTGGCAGATGACAGTTTTTGTTTTCAATGCCAAACAATGTCTCAAATATTTTCAATGTCAAATAATGACATGTTGTTTGTGCAGTTTTTTTCATTCTACAATATTACTATATTTTTATAACCACATACATCCTAAAAAAATCTTTTAACAAACTTCAGAAAGATTTATCAAAATCCGATTAATCGTTTAGGAGGAGTATATTTACATAGATCATTACAGAAGAATTTTATATATAAGATTAAGTTGTTGTAGAGTATAGTAATATAAAAAATATTAAAGATTGTGTAATTTAGTTTTTTTCTTACTAATTTTTGTTTAATTACTTCAATAAAACGATGTATTATATTCATGATATTTATGGTGTAAATAATTTAAGTTATTCTAACACGATATTTTTCAGTTTTAGTGCAATTGTTTCGTTTGGACGAAAAGAAGAAACTGCTGAAAAAATACTAATAGTGTTGAAACTATCAACTCGCAATGTCTTATAACGAAACTAGTAAAACTAGTAGTTCATTCAACAGATGGATGAAAAATATTCAGGAGGACATCGATTCTGGATTTAATTTAAACGAATATAATGTTGAAGAATATGAGTCTACTTTTAACGCTAAGAAATCTTTAAATCAAAAAGCTCTTGAGATGAACAATAGTAAGTCTATAGAAGGATGTTCACAAAATATTAAGAAAGATACTGTTTCAAAAAATTGTGATAAAAGTAGTAATAAAGAGATAAATTAAAATGGGCCTGTAAATAAAACATTGACAACAACTTAACTAATGGTAGAATCAATTAAAATATGTTAATATAACGCAAATGGCACCATTAGAAATATAAATATTTCAACTCAACTTAGTCAATATTCTACTAATCCGAAACTAACTTCAATATAAAATCATAACATATTCTACATCATCTGCATTTCCCATCACCCAGATGTGAAAGTCAATATGACATAATTTTGTGAAAAATTAATTTCGAGATGGGAACAATGAACCTTCAATTAGCGCAAGAAGTTGTTCTTATCACAAGTAGAAAAATAATAGAGAACATCCAGCTGAAGATAGGAAATCTAGAGATCACGCAAAACCTTACATCGGTTACTTTGGCTTAATGCTTGAATCTTGATTAAATTTCAATCAACAGATGGAATGCATAAATGGAATCCTTCTCTATACAAAAAAAAAACAGGTGGGAAATGCCAGCCAACATCAGTCTATACAAGATTCTTTCATTTGAGTGCAAACCAAACATTATAGCATCTAATTACTGACTGCCAAGAAATAAAATTGTATCTGCCAATTTTAATTCATTCTTCAAAAAGCTTAGGCAATAAATTTATAGCAACAGGCGATTTATAGATCTTGGGGATCTAAACTAACTACAGGCAAAGGAAAACAACTACAAAAATCAATGAATCAGATAACTGCTCCATATGTACTGGATAATGCTTTATATCTACTGGACAGCCAATCTTAACAAAATTCCAGATTTGCTTGATTACTTCATAATAACAGGTATTCCAGCATCTCAATTCATTATTGATCTATCTTCTGATCCCTCCTCAATCTGCCTGTCCCTTTTTTCTAGTGCCGATTCTTTTTAACCGTTCTTGCAGTTTATCTATTAAATTTATGACCTGGAACAAATACAAAAACATTATAAACGCAAAAATTAAACTCAATCAACTTTCCAAAAATGCAGATAAAGTTGACTATCAAGTATTATTTTTAAATAAAGCTATCATTGAAATGCTCAAGGAAGCAACATTAATTATCTCACCTCGAAGAGATATTCAAATAATTCTGTTTGTTTGTTATGATTTTTTTGGAGGAAAAATGTTTGTTTGATTGATTTCTTGAAGGACTGTTATGTTTGTTATAAAACAATTGTAATTGGAATATTAATTAAGTTTTAATTTTAGATTAGATTTTTTTTATATCCTGTCATATTAAGGAATTAAATTCCATATAATTCTTGTTTTACTTGAGGATATTCGAACCATTCACATTTAATCCTGATAGTGGAACTTGTATCTTCAGACATTTACAGCATTGGTTGGTTCTTAAAAATGAAAACAAGAAGTGTTGTCTAAAAAGTTGAGAAGCTTCTTAGGGGTTGATTTGATTTGGGGTAAACAAATTCCATATAATTATTGTTTTACTTGAGGATATTCGATCGGTTCACATTTAATCCTGATAGTGGAACTTGTTTCTTCAGACATTTACAGCATTAGTTAGTTCTTAAAAATAAAACCAAGATGTGTTGTCTAAAAAGTTGAGAAGCTTCTTAATTTATACATTTTGCATTTATCTACAATGTAAGTGTTTCAATATATAAAATAGAATATATATATATATATATATATATATATATATATATATATATATATAAAAGATCTTAGATAACAGGGTCTTTCTGAGCCAGCTACATAACATGCAAGTGACTTAGTTCATTATATATATATATATATATATATATATATGTGATAAACTCTAACGTCACTTGCATGTTATGTAGCTGGCTCAGAAAGACCCTGTTATTTAAGATCTTATTTTTGACATTTGTGAGGTTTCTAGGTCGGGTTTTATCTGACAACTTGAGAAATACGCCTGAGTTTACAGCAACCATGTGGCTTTTGTCAACATTTAGAACGAATTTGTATGGAAAGTTCTTGATAACATAGCCTTGCCATAACATTGGTTTGTTATGCGGTCGAATCGGTTCCTTAAACAATATTAGAATATCTAGGATCCTAGAGAATATTGGAATATGATATATTCATCACCATCATATTTATAGTATGAGATCAGGTTAGGCAACATTGATAACATTAATACAAACTACGAGTAACAATTTTTTTTTCTATTATTTCAATAATTTTTACAACTGTCCCAAATTGGACAAGTAAAATATTTGACATAAAACTGAAGGTGTTGGCAAAATTCAAATCATCTGACCATTGCCAATGATTTATCGAAGGTCTTATCTATTGTTGAATAATGCAGAAGAAATTTTCTTTTCAATCTGGCCCTGGTAGAGTTGTTCTGAAGTTTTCTGGTGAGCAAGTTTGGGTGATCAGCTAGACGATTTCTATATTTGTGTAACTGTGATAGTGCCTGTGTCTTTGTGTATTAATCAATTTTGAACATACTTTGGTGCTTTCTAAATTTCTTTTAATATTATGTTTTGAAATCTTTGAATTATTAAAGCGTTTAAGTTGGAAGTTGATCTCCATAACTGTAACCCGTATGTCCAAAAGACACAGGCACTAGCACAGTTAAGGATGAAATAATTGCTTACTCACACAAATTGGTTTAATGATGGCTTTGTAGAGGTAAATTTTATTATGCGTGCTAACTTTTGATTTTCGCCCGAGGAGCCAATAATATCTTTTTCTGGCTTCTTCAAGCTGCTTCCTCTTTTTCTGAATGTGTTTTTCCAGGTTAGTCTTTTATCCAGGTGTAAACCTAGATATTTGACTGTATCTGTTTGATCTATAATTTCGTCATTAAGCCTTACTGCAGGACAAGTCCCTTTGCAAAGAGTGAAAGTGATGTGCTTTGACTTGCTGCCGTTAACTTCTATTTTTCACAAGCTTAGCCATTTTTGTATCACGTCAAGATGATCCTGCAGCATTTTTTATGTAATTATAGGATCTTCATGTGTTGCCAGTATGCCTGTGTTGTCTGCATATGTTGCTGTCAAAGTGTCATCTTTCTATGGTAGGCCCGCAGTGTATATGAGGTATAATAGTGGCCCAATGACACTACCTTGAGGCACTCCCGATCTGACTGGATGTGATGTGGATTTTTCACCCTTTACACTTACGAAGAATGTTCTACCTTCCAGGTAGGACCCTATGAATTGAAAATGCGTTTTTGATTTTGTACATAGACCGGGATATGTTTCTGAAACAATAATATTTAGTGTGACCATAAGGTTGACATTTTGTACACTGTACAATTTTCCTTGTTGGATTTTTAGGCTCAATTTTAACTCTAATTCTATTTCAAAATTCTATGTTGAAGATGTCCTTGTTGTTAAAGTTTTGTTTAAATTCAACCATAAACATATGCAGTGGAGCACGAGTAAGTCTGTGCTTGATGTTGGCTATATACACAACTTTGTGTCCATGAGATTCAATTTCATTTTTGATGTTTTTTATATCGGTGCTGAAGTGAATATTTCTAATAACTACTTTAAATGTTCGGTTGGTTTTGCTTTGAAAAGAGTGCATATGTGTGTTTTTAATTTTTAAGCGGTTCAAAATTTTGTTATATAGCTGTGCAGAACTCAACTGTATTCTGACTTGATCTGTACCAACAATTTTGTTAGTATAGTTACCTTTGGCGTGTGTTTCTAGTAAAATTGACAAGGGTCTGATGTCATCGTGGACAAAAATTGGCGGTGGTTTTAAGACTACTTCTTTCTCTATTGGCTATTGAACATCATTCAAAATTTCAAAGGAATTGCTGGTTAATATAGGGTTCACAACCAATTCTCTGCAGATTTGTTTGCTTTATGTTTTTGGTACTTGGCATCGATCCATTTTTCAAAGCTCATAATTTTTTATCCTTGTGTGGAGGTCGATGGTGGTTGGTTGTGTATTCGGAACATGTTGTGATCAGGATGAACATTATCTAAACAGGATGAAGAATTGTTCAAAAGTGAGTTTTCTGATGGGGTCCAGTTCCGCCTAGTTGGATTTTCTAATATGAATTAACTTTTTCGAGGTGGAATAGTTTGTTCAATATCCATGTTTTCTTGACAATTAATTGAATTTCTGTTCTGCGGTTCTTTACTAATAAATGATGTGGTAAATTGAGACGTAATTTTTCTGTGGTTTGATCCGAACATGTTTGCAAATCTTCATGTAATATGTTATTTGTTTTGGTAAGAGATTGTTTGTTCATTGTGTCCCCATAAGGGTGACACAAAAATATGTAATATCATCACACTAATTAATAGACAAGTTAAGTACCTGTTAAGTATCTGTATAGGAACAAAGTAAGATCAGAAAAAATAAACTATATAATTTTCAAACGTTGATTATGGATTACACTAGTTTAATAATTTGACGCGCGAGCATTCACTTTCACACGCATAGACCTTTATATATATATTCCATAGACCTTATATATATTTATTCCATAAGGTCTATGTTCACACGTCATAACTAGCGCCAAAATATTGGCGGCGGCCGCGCTAATAAATTAACTCGCAGTTAAAAATGTTTTCAATGTTGTGCAACCTGGTTTAAATCGAAATGCAGGGTGAGAATGGTGAGAAAATTGAGTCAAAGTGTTTCATAGAATTATATTATATTCGACGAAGCGTAATATAAATATACATTAAATTAAATTATTTATATAGTTATATAGGTAATAATCATCTTCAACTTATTATTGATTATTGTTAGTTTGTTAAATAAGAATCAGCAAACACCTAAAAATGTCTGAAGAAGCAAACTCTAATGCAACAATTAAAATTGAAGCTATGTATTATCCTCAAGTGAAACAAGAATTTGATCATTGCCATCAAGAAATAAAGCAAGAAACTGGTACTAAAGCAAACGAAATAATATTAGATGAAGAATCTTACACACATAATGAAGAAAACAGTAAGTCAAATAATTTAGTAGATAATATAAATAAATCAAGTGAAAAGGTTTCGAGAAAACAGAAAACAGCCTATAGCATGAAACTCACAACTTGTAAATTATGTAATAAAACATTCACAAAAAGACGAGCATTGCATATACATAACAGGATTCACACTGGAGATAATCTTCATAAATGTGCTATTTGCAATAAATTATTCACAACAAACTTCAGATTAAATGAACATTTAATTGTTCATTCTGGAGATCGTCCATATAGTTGTCAAATATGTGATAAAACATTTGCAAGAAAAACAGAATTAAATCAACATAAAGTGGTCCATTCTAATCAACGCCCATATAAATGTGAAATATGCAATAAAACGTTCTCAAGAAAGCAAACATTAAAGCAACATGGAATGATTCATAAAGATGTACGCCCTTATAATTGTCAAATATGCAATAAAACATTTTCAACAAAAAGTTATTTAAAGCAACATAAAATTATTCATACTGCTGAACGGCCTTTTAATTGCCAAAGATGCAATAAAACATATTCAAGAAAAAATGATTTAAAGCAACATGAAATGATTCATACTGGTGAAGGGCGTTTTAATTGTCAAATATGCAATAAAACATTTTCAACAAAAAATTATTTAAAGCAACATAAAATTATTCATACTGCTGATGCTTTTAATTGCCAAATATGCAATAAAACATTTTCAACAAAATATTATTTAAAGCAACATAAAATTATTCATACTGGAGAATGGCCTTATACTTGTCAAATATGCAATAAAAAATTCTCAACAGAAAGATTATTACAGCAACATGAAATTATTCATACTGAAGAATGGCCTTATAGTTGTCAAATATGCAATAAAAAATTCTCAAGAGAGCGATTATTAAAGCAACATGAAATTATTCATACTGGTGAAAGACCTTACAGTTGCCAAATATGCAATAAAACATTCACTCGTTCAGATTACTTGAGAATTCACTTAAAACTGCACAATGGACAACGCCCATATAAGTGTGAAATATGTAAAAAAGCATATACGACAAAACACTCTTTAAAGTATCATGAAAAGATCCATGCTGCAGATTGATATTTGATCAAGCTATAAAGTTCTTTTAACTTAAATTTGAATTAACTGTGCAACCATCTGGATAACCTTTTTCATTTGCTCAATACATATAGTCTCGATATTAACTGTAATTTGTTATTTTGAGCAGAGAAACAACACTGCTCTTCAGTATATAATATGTAATTGTTTAACAATGTATAATTATAAATATTTAACTGAATATAAATATGATTTTGTAATTGTTTTGTATTTACTACAGTCACATATACATAGTGTCGCACACACACCAAAATGGAACATTTTTTCAGCAAAGTCCAGTTCTATAAATATAAATATAAATACAAATATAAATATAATATAAATATAAATATAAAAAATATAACTATTGCATAAAAATATAGTTATTAAAACCTAAACAGGAATATATATTTCATTGGTATTTTTTATTATTATTTCAATATTTTGAATTTTTTAACTTTCTGTAGGGCAAGTTATAAAAGACCCACTAAACCAATATCCGTAACATTCACGTAACTTTTACGTAAAAAAAGTTACATATTTACGTCATTTTTACGTAAGATTAATGTAAGAAATATGTAATAATTTCGCCTATTTTACGTAATGTGGATAAAGTAAAAAATCGAAAATGAAAATCTACATTTTGAAGTCATCTGATCTGATAGTATAATATTATAATAATAATGTTGTCTTCCATTGAGTTACCCTAATGTGCTTATACATTATTATATTACTTGTCGTCACACAGAGTGGATTCCAATATCTAGATAAATTAGATATTATTTTTATAAAATGAAATAATTTAAATGTGATGAATAATATTTGATAGCTATTGATTCAAAAGATTTCAAGAGTATCAAAAGTATTGGTTTACATAATAAACATATAATTCTCATCTCTTATAACTTATATGTATAAGCATAGATAAAAGAAAAGTATAAGCAAATTATCTTTTTTTTTCTACAAATATATATATATATATATATATATATATATATATATACAGGGCCGGTCCTGGGGTCCTCAGCGCCCGCATGCAAGATTTATTCTAGCGCCCCCCCTCAAATAATTTTAACTGGTTTTAATCATTATGCATTTAGTACACAAAAAATTAGATATAATCTAAAAGCGTATAAAATACATTGATTTTAATTTTATTTAGAAAATCGAAGCGATTTGCGGGTTGACCATATCAAATATTTTACATTTTCAAGTATTTCTAACATATGTGTAATATTAATATTTGGGTTATGAAACATTTCACTTATTTCATTTTTTAAACATAACACTCGTTTTTCATGTTGGATTTTTAAATTTTATTTTAATGTTTTTTAAATTTTTTTTTCATTATTTACAATATCTAATATTGCATCGTAAACTTCTTCTTATTGATATTGTAAGGACCGAATTGTATTCATATTTACTTTTTCATCTCATTCAGAAATTTAGATTGTTGTTTTAAAGTTAAATTTTTAACGTATTTTAAAAGATGCAAAGAAATTACATATTTTCTGAACTATATTGAAAACAAAACACAATTATATTTGTATCTGCATTATTTCAGCTTATAAATAAATTTATTTATAAATTCATATAAATTTTTAAATTTAGTATGGACCCACGAGGCATAAAAAAAGTTCACGATTTTTTTTTCTAAGTCCATTTTTACTAACTAACCTAACCACGTATGTCTTCAAGTTACTATTCAATTTCTCGGTATCTTCAGCATCTATTTTTTTTTAACAAGTTCCGTTCAAACTAAATCAGCTCGTAATTCTTCGTCAATAATGCCCAATAATTTAAACTTTTGTAGGTTTGCGCTTACGGGATTGAACACTAAATAATTCCTTCTTTGATTCCACATTAACTTCAAACTAGGAAAAATTTAATAAGTACAATAAGCAATAAGCAGAACAATAGTTTACTAGTTTGCTAAGTATTAATTATTTCTGCTGATATCACATTGCAAACTGAATATGCTTTTTGTCTCCATAGTTAATTATTATAATCTATTAAGTATTCTAGATTTTATATTTAAAAAAATATGAATAATATATTAAAAATTTTAATTAAAATACATTATAAATTTCATTTCCGAATCTCCATTTTGGCGCCCCCTAAGGCGTGCGCCCGCATTTTTTGCATGCATCGCATGCAAGGCAGGACCTGCCCTGTATATATATATATATATATATATATATATATATATATATATGTATATATAATAGTGTCGATAATCGAGTTTTATTCAAGAAAAATGGAATGTAAGTATAAATGTAACAATAGAAACATGAATCGTTAAAGTGTAAAGTTCTATATACTCTACTGTTTATACATTTAGTCTTAGCGTAAAAGATAAGATACTATCATGCTGTGGAATTTGGTGATGGTATATATATATATATATATATATATATATATATTATTATATTATTTATCTATATATTTATATATTATTATCATATTTCAGTCAGACAGGGGTATCCGGTATGAGAGATTATGAAACAATTTGCTTAAAATGTAGTATTCGTATTTTACCCCGAAATTAGAACGAGTTTGAAAAGAAATTAGCTCTCTGGCCTCATTTTAAGTCAGACACTGCTTTTGACAAGGCTGCAAAGAAGATGGAGGTACCAAAATATCCCGTTAAAAGAATTTTGGCTTCTTGTGGTGAGTTTATGCATACATATTAATTAATCATATATGAAAATTCTACAGTTGAATACAATAAATACAGTTGCTTACAATAAAAATATATTACATATTTAGATGATTATGGCACAGACAGAAAAAAGCTGTCAGCTCAAATATACTCACATATGGGTTCGGAGACCGAAGAAAACAAAACTAGGAAGAAAAGATCGAAGATTCTACTCTCATCAGACTAATTCTGCCACCTCCACCACCGGTGCCAATTGTGTTACCAAAAATGCTCCAAATAATACAAGTATTACAAGGGAGAAAGAAAGTGGAGCAGCGTGTTTATGTGGTATTTATTAACACTTTTGTATAATAAATAAATAATATATAAGTTACTAATAATCATTTTCCAGATTCAAATGTTAATGAAGGAGATAATGAAAGTGAACTTATCAGTTGAAGGAATTCAACATGATATCAAAGATTTGAAGGTGAACAGGGCAGAGGCAATAGCAAATGTGTAAAATATTGAACCGTATGTTTCGATAAAAGGTGTGATAAAAAATTTTGCACTGAAAACAATGGAGAATCTGCAAGTATTGGAGAAATATATAATTGAAAATAAATTACAAAATCAATTGGTATGGGCAATATAATTTTCAAATAGTTTGCATTATTTTTTACAACTAATGCTTTGGTACTTAATTCTTGTAATTGCTAATGGAATATATTTATTACTAGGTTCAGTATTTAGCCAAAACAGGTCGCGCGAGTGCCAGGGCAGTGACAGTGCACTTGCTAAAATATATATTTACTGACTCTTTGGCTAAAGAGATAAGCTGGGCTGTTGGACGGGGCAAATACAAATTTTGTGATATGGTGTTCTGCGAGATCATCACAGGTAATAATTTTTATATATATTCATATATATATATATATATATATATATATATATATATAGTTTAAAAGTTGGGTGATAGATCAATAAAAACTAGTACGAGAGTTTTTATAGAGATTTATTTAAAATCCATATGTTTCGGCTAGCATCTTAGCCATCATTCAGTGGCAATCAATTTAACTTCAATTTGTAAGGAGTTTCATAGAATAGAAATAAAAAATTCCTAAAAACTCTCATCATACTATTTTTTATTGATGTAACACCAAACTTTTAAACTCAAATAAAATCTATATCAACATCAAATTCAAATCGATCCAAATATATACATATATATAATATATATACACATAGATAAATAGCAAAAATTTGTAATCGCACACACATATACATCCATATTTTCTAAGGTATACCAAAATGTTCAGAAACCTCTGAAACATAAAGATATATAAAAATTTTCATTTTCGATTTTTTTGCGATTACTATAACTTGCCCTACGGAATAATTTCTAATCAATAAACTTACGTTTAGTACAAATATTTAATTTGTTTTATTATTTTCAAGGAACAGGGTAAAATATTCTTCTGATTCAGGCATTTTTCATTAATTCAAGATTTGCACTACGAATTTTAAAATTTCTGTTTATCTATGCCGATTTCTTTGTCGATATCGGTACGCATACAGCGTTGAGGCCGGCACGCATACAACGACAGATCTCTATTCATATACGCGACGACTAATCACAAACGACCCGTATAGAAATGATCGAGAGCGAATGACGAATCATTGGCACTCGAATCTTATCTTATCTTATCTGCCGTAACGCACTTCCGTTGCATTTGTACGGATTTACACCCTAGTCGCATCTAAAGAAGTTTTACTACAAAAATTATTTTTGTAAACGTACGCATAAGTTGTTCATAAAATCGCTAATCGCTAATCGCTAATCGCTAATCGCCCGTATAGAAATGATCGAGAGCGAATGACGAATCATTGGCACTCGACTCTTATCTTATCTTATCTGCCGTAACGCACTTCCGTTGCATTTGTACGGATTTACACCCTAGTCGCATCTAAAGAAGTTTTACTACAAAAATTATTTTTGTAAACGTACGCATAAGTTTTCATAAATCGCTAATCGCTAATCGCCCGTATAGAAATGATCGAGAGCGAATGACGAATCATTGGCACTCGACTCTTATCTTATCTTATCTGCGTAACGCACTTCCGTTGCATTTGTACGGATTTACACCCTAGTCGCATCTAAAGAAGTTTTACTACAAAAATTATTTTTGTAAACGTACGCATAAGTTGTTCATAAAATCGCTAATCGCTAATCGCTAATCGCCCGTACAGAAATGATCGAGAGCGAATGACGAATCATTGGCACTCGACTCTTATCTTATCTTATCTGCCGTAACGCACTTCCGTTGCATTTGTACGGATTTACACCCTAGTCGCATCTAAAGAAGTTTTACTACAAAAATTATTTTTGTAAACGTACGCATAAGTTGTTCATAAAATCGCTAATCGCTAATCGCCCGTATAGAAATGATCGAGAGCGAATGACGAATCATTGGCACTCGACTCTTATCTTATCTTATCTGCCGTAACGCACTTCCGTTGCATTTGTACGGATTTACACCCTAGTCGCATCTAAAGAAGTTTTACTACAAAAATTATTTTTGTAAACGTACGCATAAGTTGTTCATAAAATCGCTAATCGCTAATCGCTAATCGCCCGTACAGAAATGATCGAGAGCGAATGACGAATCATTGGCACTCGACTCTTATCTTATCTTATCTGCCGTAACGCACTTCCGTTGCATTTGTACGGATTTACACCCTAGTCGCATCTAAAGAAGTTTTACTACAAAAATTATTTTTGTAAACGTACGCATAAGATTGTTCATAAAATCGCTAATCGCTAATCGCCCGTATAGAAATGATCGAGAGCGAATGACGAATCATTGGCACTCGACTCTTATCTTATCTTATCTGCCGTAACGCACTTCCGTTGCATTTGTACGGATTTACACCCTAGTCGCATCTAAAGAAGTTTTACTACAAAAATTATTTTTGTAAACGTACGCATAAGTTGTTCATAAAATCGCTAATCGCTAATCGCCCGTATAGAAATGATCGAGAGCGAATGACGAATCATTGGCACTCGACTCTTATCTTATTTTATCTGCCGTAACGCACTTCCGTTGCATTTGTACGGATTTACACCCTAGTCGCGTCTAAAGAAGTTTTACTTCAAAAATTATTTTTGTAAACGTAATCATAAGTTGTTCATAAAATACGCTAAACGCCTAATTTATAAAGCACAGTATGTAATAAATAATCTATTTGAAATTATTCAAAACAATTATTGATTATTTTCATTTCTCGAATGTCTAATTACGGTATAAGAAGTTCCAGCAATTTGCCTTAAGGCACGATGCCATACACCACTAGTTTATTTCTTATATCAACACCGATTGTAGAAATTGACTAAAAGAATCATAGTGATTTATTTGTATACTTAAAATGCATATTACTATATTTTATATTTATAAATTTCGTCAATACATAAAGTATCAATAAAAATTGTATGGAGATAAAACAAATATAATAGCAAACTAGTGGGGTGTGTGGCACCGTGCCTTAAGGCAAATTGCTGGAACTTCCCATACCGTAACGAAATGTTCGAGGAATACTGAATGTTTTCAAATAGATTATTATTAATATTGTAACATTGTCTAATATTTATAAGAATTATGTAAACTGAATTGAAAAATTGAAAATTGCAAAAGTTGAAATTATTTGTTTAAAGTATATTAGAACTATAGTCAGAATTAAAAATAAATTCTGAATTATTTTCGATATACAAAAAAAAAATGAAACAAAAAATTTTTTTTTCCAAAATCAATTATTTTGTTAAGACAAGCAGAAAGTTCTTTGAATCAATTAAATCGGACGCTTAGTTCTCTCAAAAACTGCCATTTTTTGTACATTTAGCTCCGTATCTTCTAATTGGCTGAGTCTGCCTTTGCCAAAAACTAATAACCACTTCTCCCAATCATTACTAATTGAATGTTTTTCAGATCATTCAAATCGGATGCTCCGTTCTCTCAAAAACTCGATTTCTGCACTCTTTGCTCTTTATCTCCTTAACTACTGGACCTGCCTTTGCCAAAAACTAATCAGCACATCTCTTTATCAATAGGAATCGAATGTTTTTTGAACCATTCAAATCGGTTGATCCGTGCGCCCAAAAACGTAGACGAAAAATTGTATCCATACATACCTACACACACACACACACAAACACATCCATTTTTTCTGAGGTATGCCAAAATGTTCAGAAACCTTCAAAACGTCGAGAAATGTAAAAATTTTTAATTTCGATTTTCGGCCCATTACAATAACTTACCTTACGGGAAGTTAATTAAAATATATCTTTTATTTGAAATGAAATATTTTGCCGCGGATTAACTCGCAGTTGAAATGTTTTCAATGTTTCAATGTTGTGCCACCTGAGTGTCAATAGAAACGTCAAAGTTTTCATGAAGTGGTATTGTACTTAAACAAATAATTTAAAAGTAAATACAAAAAAATATTAATAATTAATTCAAAACTTGCAAATTAGAATAAGTTCGTTAATTTAGTTTATTGAAAATGTCTGAAGAAACAAATTCAAACACAACCATTAAAATAGAACCAATCGAATATCCTCAAGTAGAACAAGAATTTGATTATTGTCTTCAAGTGAAACAAGAATTAGATGATTATGAGGTAACAGAAATATGTCCAGAAAACCAACAAATATCTCTTTTGAATTCTGATGTAAAAATTGAGGAAGAAATTAAGCAAGAAACAATTTATGAGCAAGGTGCATCCACAAGTAGAAATAAAATTGCCTTAGAAGATAAACCTTATGAAGATGTCTGTAAGTCAAGTAATATAGTGTATAATAAAAATAAAAGTAGCAAATCTTTTGGCAGAGTTTCAGGCAAACGTAAAAAAATCCATAATTCAAAACTTCACAAATGTAAAATATGCCTCAAAACATTTGCAAGTAAAGGCGCATTAAGAATACATGAAAAGATACACGCTGGAAAATCCCTTTCTAAATGTGCAATATGCTACAAAACATTCAATACACTACAAAGATTAAAGCGACATATTATGATTCATACTGGGGAACTCCCTTTTAAATGTGAAATATGCTTTAAAAAGTTTATTCTACTAAATAATTTGAAAGCACATTTAACTATGCACAGTGGAACACGTGCTCACAAATGTGAAATATGCAACAAAACATTTGGAACACCACAAGCATTAAGAGCCCATAAAATAATCCATATCGAAGAACGCCTTTATAAATGTGAGACATGCAATAAAACATTCAAAATAAGAAATAGATTAATCCAACATGCAATTATTCATGTTAAAGAAAACCCTCTAAAATGTGAAAAATGTGGTAAAATGTTCACAACAAAACAAAAATTAAATTATCATGCAATTGTACATGCCAGAGGAAGCGGTTATAAATGTGAGACATGCAACAAAACATTTACAACAAAATTTGAATTAAAGCGACATAAAATGCTACACACTGGGGAACGTCCTTACGAGTGTGGGATATGTAACAGGGCATTCATAACAAAAAAGGAATTAAATCTTCATGGACTTGTACATACCGGAGTACGCCGTTTAAATGCGAGGCATGTGATAAAGCATTTAAAACAACCCGTGCATTAAAACTACATAAAATGATGCATACTCAAGGATACCCTCATAAATGTGCAATATGCAATAAAGGATTTGTAACAAAATTCGCATTAAACCAACACGAAATTTTTCATACAGACGATCCTTATAAATGTGTAACATGCAATAAAACATTTGTATCAAAATACACATTAAAATTACATGAATTGCGCTATAAAGGAAGGGAATCAAAGCATCGTGAAATGGGGTACACCGGAGAACGCTCTCGCACATGTGAAATATGTAATAAAGTATTTAAAACAAAAGAGATATTAAAGAAGCACCAGTATGTCCATGAAGAAAGAACTTCTTACACTTGTGAAATATGCAGTAAAACATTTTCTGGAAAATACACATTACATGTACATAAAAGGATCCACACTGGAGAATGTCTTCACAAATGTGAAAAATGCAGTAAAACTTTTACAAGTATTACAAATTTAAATCGACATAATCTTGTCCATAGTGAAGAACGCCCTTTTAAATGTGAGACATGTGGTAAAGCGTATAAAGCAAAACGGACCTTACAACTACATGAAAAATCACATTGAAATAAAGATCAATTTTTTTCTAATTTTTTTTTATGAAATATATACCATAAAAGAGAAAATGTTTTGAAATTTATATACACAGGTGTATCAATATGAAATAAGCATTTTGTGTAAATAAAACTAATTTTTAATAACAAAGTATAATTTTTTTTTACTTTTGTTCATTTTGCGGCCACCGCGCTAAAATTTTATTGTCTTTTGCAGCAAATAAATAAGACAATCAACTACTCGTATTGTAAGTTATAGTAATGAGCCAAAAAATCGAAAATGAAAATTTTCGCATAACTTCACGTTTTAGTGGTTTCTGAACAATCTGACACACCTTAGAAAAAATAGATGTGTGTGTGTGTGTAAGGATGTATGAATACAACTTTTCGTCGACGTTCTCGGGAGTACCGCCGAACCGATTTGAATGATTGAAAAAGCAATAGTTTTTGCGAGAATCCGAGCATCCGATTGGAATGATTTAAAAAACATTCAATTTGTAATGATAGCGAGAAGTGATGATTAGTTTTTGACAAATGCAGTTCCAGCTGTTTTGGAGGTAGGGAGTTAAATGTGCAAAAAATAGCATTTTTTGAGAGAATGAAGCATCCGATTTGATTGATTCAAAGATGCATGTGTTGACACAAAAATTTGCTTTTGTAAAAAATATTAACTTCCCGTAGAGTAAGTTATAGTAATCGTACAAAAATCGAAATTGAAAATTTTTACATTTCTTCACGATTTGAAGGTTTCTGAATACTTTGGCATACGTCAAAAAATATGGATCTATGTGCGTATGTATGTATGTACGAACACAATTCTTTGTTCACGTTTTCCGGCGTACGGGTCAACCGATTGGAATGGTTCAAAAAATATTCAATTCCTTTTTATAGGGAAATGTGCTGATAAATTTTTGACAAAGGCAGGTCCAGCCGTTACGGAGATACGGAGCAAAGAATGCAGAAAATAGAAATCGAGTTTTTGAGAGAACATCCGATTTGAATGACCTAAAAAACATTTAATTCGTAATGATTGGGAGAAGTGGTTATTAGTTTTTGGCAAAGGCAGGTCCAGCCATTTTGAAGATACAGAGCTAAAATGGCAGTTTTTGAGAGAACTAAGCATCCGATTTGAGTGATTCAAAAAAACTTTTTGCTTGTTTTAACAAAATATTTGCTTTTGGAAAAAAAAATGTTTCAAATTTTTCTTTTTTTTTAATTTTTTTTTCAAAAAAATTTTTTTTTGTATGCCGAAAATAATTCAGATTTTAATTTTTATTCTGTTCTAATATACTTTATACAAATAATTTCAACTTTGCAATTCAGTTTATATAATTCTTATAAATATTCGACAATGTTACAATATTTTAGTACAAGAAACTTTCTGCTTGTTTTAACAAAATAATTGCTTTTGGAAAAAAAAATATTAAATTTTTTTTTTGTCTAAAAATTTTTTTTTTTGTATCTCGAAAATAATTCAGATTTTGGTTTTAATGCTGGCTAAAGTTCTAAAGCTCACTTATATACTTCAAATAAATAATTTTAATTTCGTAATTCAGTTTATATAACTTTTATAAATATTAGACAGTATTTATAATAATCTATATGAAAACATTTAATATTTCTCGAACATTTTGTTACGGTTACGGTACGGGAAGTTCGAGCAATTTGCCTTAAGGCTATAATAAAATATAAATATAGACACCAATAGTTTGAGATTCCTATGTGATTAAATTTTAAAATTGGTCATGAGATTCCTATGTGATTGAACTGTCTAAAATGGTAATTTCTTTTATCTAAAATATAGGTAACAACTGATTACAGTTAACGGCCGTTCTTAAATAATCATACATTTTTAGAACATGAACATGAACATGAAGTTAGACTAATGCCGCTTACAACTATTTTTAGTTATAAGACTTGAGGACAGTTTCTGCATTATTATTATTTGTATTTATTATTAGATGATTTTCATTATTTTTGATTATTGTAATTATTATTAATCATGTCTCCGTACAAATAAATATAAATTGTCTCTGACATATTTTGCGCGCATTTCTCCATTCTATATTGGCGCGCAAAGATAAGAGAATTGGCGCGACTGGCACGACAGTGTGATGACTTCATAGTAAAAATTCTGATCTGATCGGTAGTACTGGTGAGGACGAAATAGTGAAGTAAAATCTTTGTAAAGAATTATATTGTATTTGAATAATTTTTTATAAAATACGTTAAATGATATTTATTAGTGATTTTAAAGTATAAATTACAATAAGCCAAAAATGTCTGAAGAAAAGAAACTCAAACGTTAACAATTAAAATGGAACCAATGAAAGTCTACAAGTGAAACAGGAATTAGATGTTTACGAAAGAGAGCCAGAAATGAAGAATTTATTTAGAGCGTTTTTTAAATTCAGAGGTAACAATAGTAAAACAGGAAACTATTGAGTTTCAAGATGCTGTTTGAGATTAGATCAAACAAGCTATAACACGAAACTGCATAAATGTAACATATGCAAAAAAATATTCGAAACACAGCAATTATTAACCCAACATAAATCAATCCATACTCAAGAAAGAGGTCATAAATGCAAGATGTGCGGTAAAAACATTCAAACATATTACTTATTAAAAAGTGCATCACTTGAACTATACTGGAAAACACACTCACGAATGTGTAATATGCAATGAAGGGTTTCTAAAACTGAACCATTTAAAGCTTCATTTATTAAAACATACTGGACAGCGTACTTATGCTTGTGCAATATGTAATAAAACATTCGCAACAAAAGAAGATTTAACGCAACATAAAGCTATCCATAGTATAGAACAGCCTCTTGTATGTGAATTATGCAGTAAAAAATTCAAAAATAAACATACATTGAAACATCATCAAATTGTTCATAACGGAGAATATTCTCATAAATGTGAGATATGCGATAAATCATTCAAAAGAAAATCCATATTAACAATACATCGAAGGATCCATACAGGAGATTGCCCTTATCAGTGTGAAATATGCAATAAGAAGTATACTTGTTCCAGCAATTTGATAAAGCATTCAACAATGCACAGCTTAGAACGACCATTTAAATGTACCACTTGTGGTAAAACGTACAAAATTAAACGAGATCTAATTCGACATGAAATGGTTCATACTGATGAATGCCCTTTCATGTGTGAAAAATGTGGTAATAGATATAGAACAAAACGCTCATTGCAGCTACATGGTAAAAGTCATAGAAATATTGAAACATTTTCTCAAATTCATTAAAAATATATGCATATCGTACTAGAGAGCTATGTTTCAACAGAATATACAAAAATGCTGTGCTGAATGATAAACATCATGTATCTATTAGTGTACATACTGAATAAATAAATGTTAGTTTTTTATTTTAAAAAAATTGCTATATATTAATATATTTATTAATATATATATATATATATAATATATATATATATATATATATATACTAGATGACCCAACAGACGTTGTTTTGTACCCACGTCTACAATTCAAAAGTTCCAATTTTTTTAATATCCTATTCTATACTTTTTAATATCCTATTTGATGTTCTGCCTTTCTGATTCATTTATAGTCTTAGCATAAGCAGTATAAGGAATTCAGAAAAATATAATATAATATCTGCGTACTAATATCACACTTGATTTTTCAACACAACATAATATTGCTTCAATAATTTAGTCTCTAATTTTTATAATCTCGTACGATATATTAGTTGTTTTTGGAAATTATAATTTCTAAAGTACATTTTCCTTACTAATTATTTAATAAACATTATTGTTTATGGTCAAATCTTAGGTGAATTAATTTGTAAAATCTAGTTTATATGTGCACTATTCAATCTAAGATCAACTTGCTAAATATTCTATATCCATGCCAAACAAATAAATTTTTGACACTTGAAACAAAATTCTAAATCATATTTTTAATAAGTAGAAATATTTTTTTGTATTGTTAAATGATTTAGTAAAAGTAAAACCAAATGTGACATGCTAAGTTTAAAAAAATAATGTATATGCAATTTTGGACTTATTGCGTTAGTTATTAACTGAATCATATAATTTCATTTGCCAAACATACGGTTGACTGTATTTTATATTATTTTATTCTGGCACATCTTAGCTGCTTTTTCGGCAATAATAATGTAGACATTATATTTTTCTTGTATGTAATATTCTAATATTATCTAGGCTCATATAATTTCAGATAAATTCAAATTTCAAGCGAATTAACATTTCTAGCAGATGATAGTTCAAAATGTTTTCATGTCAAACAACGATAAGTGGTTGTTTGTAAGTTTTTGCCATTTCTTCTACAATATTACTATAGTTTTTTTACGTTCATTAAATCTTAAAAATTTTCTTCGACAAACACTAAAAAAGAATTATCAAAATCCGAATAGCCGTTTAAGAGAAGTATCATATACTTGTACAGAAGAATTTTATATATAAAATTATAATATAAATTATAGTGTTATAACATGGTTTTGTTTTTTTAATGTTTTTTTTATGTTAAAACGTGTCGGCCATTTTGTTTACTAAGACATTGCTTTGTGTTTTTAACAATAACTTTTAAAATACTAATTATAACTAAATACTATTTTCAAGAAAATGTTACCGCATTTTCTCAAACAAAAATATTGTAAAATTTGTGCTTATATTTTTAAAATATTTCGAAACTTGCATGATGTTGAAAACGTGTCAGCCATTTTGTGATACAAAACATTTTCTGTATTTTTATTAATAAGATTTTTAAATTACTTTTATAACTTAATTACTATTTTTGAAAAAATGGTAGCTGAATAAATTTTCTAAAACATTTTCTTGGACAAAATTATTGTTAAATCTGAGCTTATATTTTTAAAATATTTTTAAACTTGGTTATTATTAATAAACATAGCTTAATTAACTATTAAGTTTATTAAAAATCGTATATTGTAAATTTAGTGCTAGTATATCTAAAATAGTTCCAAAGTTACATAAGACTTCTAAGACTCATTGAAGAGTATATACTGCCTTGTGCAAAGACATATTTTTATATAAACTATAAACTTTTTTGTTTATAATTTTATGTGTTTATTATAGTTTATTTATTTTTGTAAAATAAAATAAAATATAAACTAGTTGGTTTGGTATTTAGCCTTGAGGCAAGTTACATGAACTTCCCGATATGTGTAAATAATCGACTTAATCAAAAAAAATGTGTAAATAATATACTTCATCAATACTACTTCAAAAAAAACGATAGTAATTTTAGCAAACTTTGACGAATTTTTAAAATTAAACTACTTGTTGTAAGGCCGTAAAATTGCAGTAAGTTCTATAAGAACATGATGTATATCGCCAAAATAAGTTCCATGAAAATCGGCTTAATTTTTTTTTTTCAACAGTTAATTAGAAGAAAACGGCTCGGTAGATTTTCACCTAAAATTAATCAGTATCATTTCCAACTAATATTTTTTCGAACAGTTTTTGATTTTTTAAAATCGGTTCGGTAGTATGAGCTTAAATGTGGACGAAAAGTTTAACACTTATTTCCAAATTACAAAGAAACGGCTTGGCAAATCGTTGCACAAAACTGACAAACGATAGTCCTCACCGAAATACATCAAATGGCTTTTAAATTTCTAAAATCGGTTCAGGCGTTTTTGAGAAAACGTCGATCAAAAGTCAAATTTTGACAAATGCCAAAAAGACCATACTGATTTTTGCAAACTTTGACGAATTTTAAAGCTGAACCAGTCGTCGTAGGGCCGTAATATTTTAGTATGATCTAGAAGACTATGGTATCTATCGTCAAAAAAATAATCATAAAAATCGTCGAATTTTTTTTTTAACTTTATTACAAGAAAACGCCCGGCCGATCTCTACCAAAAACTAATCAGCACGATTCCCAACCAGTATCTTTCGAACGGTTTTTGAATTTCAAAATCGATTCAGAACTGCGGGCTAAAACGTGGACGAACGACTTTTCACTTCTCTGCTATTTACGAAAAAAACGGTTAGGCCGATCGTCGCACAAAACTGGCAAACAATAGTCCTCATCGAGATACATCGAATGCTTTTAAATTTTTAAATAATCGGTCCAGCCGTTTTGAGAAAACGGCGATTTACGGCAAAAAATCTGTTGGTGCACACGCACACACACACACACACACACACACATACTTTTTCCAAATTTGGTCTCATTCGATTCAGAATGGCTCGAAACGTCGAGAAAACATAAAATTAGCGAATCGGATTTTTTGATGAAAACATAAACTTCTCCTTCGGGAAATTAATTAGTAGTAATACAAAATACAAATAAAACCATGGGTTTTTCATCTAGAAAATGCCACTAGATGAAGAACTAGAATTTCAAAACCAATTACTCAACGTCTATCTATAGACAGATTAATTATGCTGACTATGCATAATGTGTGGAAGTCGGAACTTAACATGACCTTGCCGTAACATTCTTCTGTTGTGCGGCAGAATCGGTTTCTTAGTTTAGCTTTTTAACAGCAGCTATCCACTGTTCACGTTGATTTAATTTCCATTTGGGAAATATATAGAATTTACACTCGCTTTTTCTACTGTTGTTTTTGCAATTTACTAAACAACAACTTCGGTGTTTCATTTCTATTTTATTTATTTAAATTTGAAATAAAATAATATTTCACACGTATTTGTTCGCTATTTTGGTTATAATAGCCTCTCGTAGTGCTCAAAATGGCCACTACGAGCGCTTCAGTCAATTTGAGTTTTGCTTCCATGCCTTCCCATAAAGCGAATATGTTTCTACTCTCTCTACTGCTGTAAATGAACTCTATGCTTCAAATGTCAAATAATAAATGTAAAAGGAGAATTTATTTATCACATTGACTAAAATTATTGGTATTATTATTTAGCAAACTATTATTTAGCACACAACTATTTTTTAATTTTTTTTGTGAAAATATTTAAAAATGTCGGAAGAAACGATTATGTCTATGAATGATTGGGCAGTTAAAATTGAACCACCAGAATATTCACCAGAAGACGTTAAACTCGAAATGGAGGATGAATTTGATGATCCTGATGTTGCTGTTAAATCTGAATCGTGTTCTGAAGATAATGATACGTGTTTAGAAAGATTCATGAATTCCGAGGTTACAATTGAAGAACAAGTCAAACAGGAGTTAGTCGAGACATCAACTTATGAATGTCACATTTGCAGTAGAACATTTACAGAAACAAATCATCTAAAAGAGCATATGATCGAACATATGCCTAATAATAGCAAAGAAAGTCCTTTCAAATGCGAAATCTGTTACAAGACTTTCAATCAATTACGTAATGTGAAAAAGCACATGCTCATTCACAGTGGTGAGCGTTCCCATGAATGCAATATATGCAAAAAGACTTTCACAGAAAGAGGTAACCTGAAACGTCACATGCTGATGCATAGTGGAGTATGTCCTTATGAATGCAATATATGCAAAAAAACATTCAGGCAATCTGGCAATCTGAAAAGTCACATGCTGGTGCATAGTGGTGTACGTCCCCATGAATGCAATATATGCAATAAGACATTCATAAAATCAAGTTATTTGAAAAGTCACATGCTCATTCACAGTGGAGTACGTCCTCATGAATGCAATATATGCAAAAAAAACATTTGCACAATTGTGCAATCTGAAAAGTCACATGCTAATACACAGTGGAGTACGTCCCCACAAATGCAATATATGCAATAAGAAATTTACACAATCAACTCATCTGAATCGTCACATGGTCATTCACACTGGATTAAGGCCTCATGAATGCAATATATGCAAAAAGACATTCAGACTTTTAGATACTCTTAAATCCCACATGCGCTTTCACAGTGGTGAGCGTCCTTATGAATGCAATATATGCAAAAAAACATTCACGCAGTCAAATAATCTGAGGCATCACATGCTGATCCATAGTGAAGTACGTACTCATGAATGCAATATATGCAATAATACATTCACACTTTTAAGTGATCTAAAATCTCACATGCTCATTCACAGTGGTGAGCGCCCTTATGAATGTATTATATGCAACAAGACATTCAAGCAATCAAGTAATCTGAAAAGTCACATGCTGATACACAGTGGTGAGCGTCCCCATGAATGCCATAAATGCAAAAAGACATTCACAGAAAGAGGTAATCTTAAATGTCACATGCTGACACACAGCGGAGTACGTCCTCATGAATGCAATATATGCAATAAGAAATTTACAATCTAGTAATATGAAAAAAACACATGCTGATCATAAACGAGAGCATCTTGATAAATAAAGTATGTAATAAGAAATTTACTCAATCGAAGGGTTTGAAGAGACATATGGTACTTCATAGTCAGAAGCGTGATGAAGATCAATGAAACATAAGCATATTTGTTTACTTAAATTTAAATATTGTAAAATTTTCTTGCATTGCAAAATGGAATGTATAAATAGTATGAGATATACAGTAAACACTATATAATATCAATATTATTTCATAATTTTTTATTATTTTAATTTTTATGAATTAAGTATTATTAATAAGGATTAGTAACCATTGGTTTCAGGTTCAAATACAAATACCAATCTTGGTCAGCAGTAGTGATATTAGATATTCACAAGGAATATTATATTATTAGTAAATCATACCTACAATTTAAAATAAAATCAATCATTTTAAAAACAAAAATTGTTGTCCAGCTATTAGCCTTAAGGCACCACTAGTCAGTTTGCACTAGTTTTTTAAAAGTGTTATATAGTAATTATTTTAGATAATCTAATTAGCTTTAATTTTGTATAAGATTATATTTGATTATCTATTATAGTTTAGAAGCTATTGATATAAATATAAAAAAAATGTCCAGGCACGATCTAAGTGTTTTTAGCTTTATGCAAGTTTATAAATATTTTAAAAATATTTGCACTAGTTTTGCATTATTTTATTGTTGGACAATATTTTGAAAAAATTGTTTAGGTATAATTTTCTCTAAGACTGTGATTAATTTTGAAAAGCAGTTTAAAAGTTATTAAATTTCTTTACATATTAATTACAATCTGTCTATAGATAGACATTGAGTATTTGGTTTTTGAAATTCTAGTTTTTCATCTAGTGGCATTTTCTAGATGGAAAACCCAACGGTTTGCTTTGTATTTTTGTACTACGTTCTAATCTAAATTTTATCTTATTTTACAAAAATGAATAAACTATAATATACGCATAAGACTAAAAATACAAAGGTTTATAGTTTATATAAAAAAATGTTTTTGCACAATGCAGTACACTCCTCCATGATCAAGTAATCTTTGAAGCATAATGTAATTTTGAAAATATTTTAAATATATTAGCACTGATTTTACAATATAAGATTTTTAATAGACTTAAAATAAATATAATTAATCTAGCTACATGTTCATCTAATATTATATTTAGATTGAACACGTAACTTAGAAGTTAGTAACAATATATTGTTATTATTTGTTTGGTATTATAATACCAAAAATTGTCTTCCAGAAATATGCTATATAAACTTCAAAAAAAATTTTAAAATAGAATTAGAAATTTTACAATATGTTTGTCTGGGAAAAATGTATTAGAAAATTTATTAAGCAATATTTTTATCAAAGATAGTATTTAGTTATAATCAGTAACTTAAGAGTTATTAACAAAATACAGAAAAAATGTCTTTGTACCATAAAATGGCCGACACGTTTTCAACATTAATTACAACATTTTTGTTTGAAAATGAAAATGTTTTAGAAAATTTATTCAGCTATAATTTTGTCAAAGACTGTTTTCAGTAATAATAAATAATTTAAAAGTTATTGAAAACAAGAAACAATGTCTTTGCACAACAAAATGGCCGACACGTTTTCAACATTGTGGAAGTTTAAATATATTTTAAAAATATAAGCAAGAATTATACTACATTTTTGTTGAAAAATTTATTCAGCTACAACTTTGTTGAAGACTGTATTTAGTTATAATAAGTAATTTAGCAGTTATTTCAAAAAATACAGAAAAATGTCTCTGTACCACAAAATGGCCGACACGTTTTAACATTAAAATATATTAAAAAATAAATGTTAGAATGGGCCAGCTCTTTTTTTTAATCACTATATTTGTTACAACTGCTAAATAATTAACATCTAGTGACAATAATGAACAATTATATAAATTTAATAAAAAGAGCACAAAATAAAGGATAGAATTTTCAATAAAATGATATTCGTAGTATGTTAATTTAATTATAAAACAAAAGCAAATAATAATAATTATTATTATAATATAACTAATAAGTAAAATTTCTGAATTATAAAAATAATACTAGAAAAACAATAAAGTAGAATAAAAACAATAAGTGAAAGATGATAATAAATATAACAAAATAACAATATCAGAAATAATAAGATAATAATAATATAATAATAATGATAATATAAATATAATAATAATTCTGTTTTTTGTTGAATTTCTTCATTTACAGGCAACATGTTGCTGTGATGAAAATATTGTTTTTTATGTAAAATTGAGCTTTTCGTATTTTATATAAAACTCTTCGTGGCAGTTGGAAGGAATTCCTTCAAAATTGTAGGAGATTTGTCAAGCCTCAAAAAATATAAACAAAGTGAATTATTTTTCTGGTAAACTCATTTTAATACTACCAATTGTATAATATTTCTTTTCAGAAGATCTCGTAATTTTGTGTGCACATTAATGAAATTTTTACATGTGCGCGTTCCAAAGTTATGTTTTGTGTTGTTTGATATAACTCGAAATAAATTATTCGACAAAATGTTCTCTTCGATCGATACTAAATTTAGGATCTTAATTCAAATAACCTAAAGAAAATATAATCTAAAAACTATTCTATAAATACAAATGAGTATAAAATTATACAAATGAGTGCTTTTAGAGTACAGGATTTGAAATAAATACGTTTTCCAAGAAAGAGTGTGAAAGTAATAACATTTAAAAAAAAATTATATTTTGAGTGTCTAATAACACTTTCGAAACGTTTAGTAATGTTTCTGTGTACAAATGAAACTACTCACTACAATTAAATAATATTCATCTGAAACACCCTATTAAATTTAATTGAACAAAGTCAAAACCATTTGACATTTGACGTATGAGCTGCCTGCTGACCAAGATTGGTATTTGTATTTGAACCTGAAACTAATGGTTGCTAATCTTCATTAATAATACTTGATTTATAAAAATTAAAACATGAATAAGAAATTATAAAACAAGATAGATATTATGTAGTGTTTACTGTGTATTTCATATAATTTATACATTACACTACATGCAAGAAAAATTTTACAATATTTAAATTGAAGTAAACAAATATAACAATTATTTATATTTCATTGATCTTCACCACACTTTTGACTATGAAGTTCCATGTGTCTCTTCAAATCATTTGATTGAGTAAATTCCTTATTACATACTTCACATTTACAGGAATGCTCTCGTTTATGAATCAGCATGTGTTTTTTAAGATGAGTAGATTGTGTAAATTTCTTATTGCATATATTACATTCATGAGTGCGTACTCCACTATGTAACAGCATGTGACGTTTCAGATTATTTGATTTTGTGAATGTCTTTTTGCATATATTGCATTCATGGGGACGCTCACCACTGTGTATCAGCATGTGCATTTTCAGATAATGTAATAGTGTAAATTTCTTATTGCATATATTGCATTCATGAGTGAGTACTCCACTGTGTATCAGCATGTGACTTTTCAGATGACCTCTTTTTGAAAATGTCTTGATACATATATTGCATTCATGAGGGCGTACTCCTTTGTGCGTCAGCATGTGACTTTTCAGATGACTTGATTGTGTAAATTTCTTATTGCATATATTGCATTCATGAGGACGTACTCCACTATGCATCAGCATGTGACGTTTCAGATTACCTCTTGCTGTGAAAGTCTTTTTGCATATATTGCATTCATGGGGAACGCTCACCACTGTGAATGAGCATGTGCCTTTTCAGAACACTTAATCGATCAAAAGCCTTGTAACAAATTTCGTATTTGAAAGGATTTTCTTTAGTATTATTAGGCATATGTTCGATCATATGCTCTTTTAAATGATGTGTTTCAGCAAATGATCTATTGCAAATGTCACATTCATAAGTTGATGTCTCGACTAACTCCTGTTTGACTTCTTCAATTTTCACCTCGGAATTCATAAATCTTTCTAAATACGTATCATCATCTTCAGAACACGATTCAGATTTAATAGCAACATCAGGATCATCAAATTCATCCTCCATTTCGAGTTTAATGTCTTCTGGTGAATATTCGGGTGGTTCAATTTTAACTGCCCATTCATTCATAGACATAATTGTTTCTTCCGACATTTTTAAATATTTTCACAAAAAAATTAAAAAATAGTTGTATGCTAAATAATAGTTTGCTAAATAATAATACCAATAATTTTAGTCAATGTGATAAATAAATGCAACTTTTACATTTATTATTTGACATTTGAAGCATAGAGTTCATTTACAGCAGTGGTGAGAGTAGAAACATATTCGCTATGTGTGAAGGCATGCAAGGGGTACTCAAATTGTCTGAAGCGCTTGTAGTGATCATTTTGAGCACTACAGGAGGCTATTATAACCAAAATAGTAAACAAATACGCGTGAAATATTATTTTATTTCAAATGTAAATAAATTAAATAACTAGTGGGGTGTATGGCATCGTTTCTTCAGGCAAATTGCTGGAACTTCCTGTACCGTAAGGAAATGTTCGAGGAATATTGAATGTTTTCAAATAGATTATTATAAATATTGTAACATTGTCTAATATTGATAAGAATTATATAAACGGAATTGCAAAGTTGAAATTATTTGTTTAAAGTATACTAGAACTTTAGTCAGCATTAAAAATAAAATCTGAATTATTTTCGATATACAAAAAAAAATATTTGAAAAAAACATTTTTTTTCCAAAATCAATTATTTTGTTAAAACAAACAGAAAGTTTTTTGAATCATTTAAATCGGACGCTTAGTTTTCTCAAAAATTGCCATTTTTTGCACATTTAGCTCTGTATTTTTGGAATGGCTGGGCCTGCCTTTGCCAAAAACTAATAACCACTTGTCCCAATCATTCCTAATTGAATGTTTTTTGGATCATTCAAATCGGTTGCTCCGTTCTCTCAAAAACTCGATTTCTATTTTCTTTGCTTTTCATCTCCGTTTTGGCTCGACCTGCGTTTGCCAAAACTAATCAGCACATCTCCCTATCAATAGGAATCGAATGCTTTTTGAACCATTCAAATTGGTTAATCCGTGCGCCCAAAAACGTGAACGAAAAAATGCGGACACACAAAGCACACACACATCCATTTTTTCTGAGGTATGCCAAAATGTTCAGAAACCTTCAAAACGCCAAGAAATGCAAAAATTTTCAATTTAGATTTTTGGACGATTACAATAACTTACCCTACGGGAAGTTAAAAATGAGACAACAATGTTGTTGCGTAGTAGATTGTAAAAACAACAGTAAGAAAAGTCAGTGTGAATTCTATAAATTTCCTACAGCCAAATGGAAATTAAATCAACGTGAACTAGTAGATAGCTGCTGTTGAAAAGCTAATTTGATCCCTTAGGGATTCTGCCGCACAACAGAAAAATGTTAGGGCAAGGCCATGTTACGCTTCGACTTCCATACACATTAAGCTAATGAATCATGATGAAACTGTCAAAATATCATGTATTTTCTGTTCATTCAGGCGTTTTACACATAAACTGCAAACGTCACTCATATGTTATAAAGCTGTATCAGAAACAAACTGTTATCTAACATCGTTTTTTGACATTTGTGCGGCTTCTTGGTTATGCTTACTATCAGATAACTTGTAAAATTTGCCTGACCGCATGGCTTTTTTCAATATCATGGAAAGTTTTTCATAACATGGCCTTGCCATAACTTGTTTCTGTGATGCGACAGAATCAGTCCCTAAGTATCATAATCTTATTATTATGAAAAAAAAATAATTCGGAGTATTTAAATTGTTGTAAATTTTTTATGTTTAGCAAAAAGAAAATTTAGAAGCCAATAAATTGTTATATTATCAAAATTTACTGAATAAAAGCAAAAAAAAATGCAAACAGTTTAATTAATACAAGGTTGAAATAATGAATAATATATATTTTGTAGTGTTGATGAATCACCATGGGTTCCCAAGCCATATGATTGTATTTGTAGTAACCTTTTCATGTAAAAATCAAGTACTAGCTAATTTCCAACAATATTTCCTTTAATTAACAAATCTCAAAAAGTTAATATAGTTTTTTCCCTTGGTCATTGTTTCCGGCTGGAATTTTATTTGATGGGTAATGGACTCAAATCATGTCTTTATAATAATGTCCGTCTTTGGTATGACAAAAAATAATTTTAAAAATCAGTAAATTAAATTATTATTTATTTATTCTACTAATAAAATATTTGTATCATTATTACATAAGTTAAGCACCACAACCTCATAATTGTTTACAGCACATCTTTATTTATTTTATCATTGCACTTACCTGTGATTTAAGTATATTTAGTAAATTTTAAAATGTCAATAACTATTCAACTTTAACTTTCAGGGGAAACAAACAATAAAATGTAGTAAATGAAAGTATTATAATTAATTAAATTATAATAGGTCTCCAGGTATTTATCTTTTGAGTCTGATCGGCTGGACTTTCTGGTATAAATGATATGCTAGTTGATTAGGATGGACGTCAATTCTGTTCTTATAACTATTTGCAACTATTGATATGTTCTTGAATTGTAGTGGGAGTAGGTATATCTGTGTCTTTGTGGAGGATCCATCTTGACGTGTAGCGGGAAGCGTTTAATATTTGTTTGTTTGATGTAACTTATTTATTATTATTCATAACACAAAAATATAAAAACACATGAAAAGCGCATACTGATAGCCTCACGTAGTTCAGATCTAGTCTGGCGCTGCAGTCACACACATAGCGACACTAGAACACTAGAACCATAAACAATTTTAAAAGACGCGCCACGATTAATGTCTCATCTTTCTAGAAATATACTCTCTCTCTATGCTTCAATTTCAAATAATAAAGCCTTTAAATGCCAAATAAAAATGTAAAAGTTGAAATTATTTATCACGTTGAAAAAAATTATTGGTAAAACTAGACTATTATTTAGCACACATCTACTTTCTAATTTTTTTTTGTGAAAGTATTTAAAAATGTCGGAGGAAACAATTATGTCTATGAATGATCAAACAATTAAAATTGAACCACCAGAATATTCACCAGAAGACATTAAACTTGAAATGGAGGATGAACTTGATGATCCTGATGTTATTGTTAAATCTGAATCGTGTTCTGAAGATGATGATACGTGTTTAGAAAGATTCATGAATTCCGAGGTGAAAATTGAAGAAGTCAAACATGAGTTAGTTGAGTCATCAACTTATGAATGTGAGGTTTGCAATAGAACATTTGCAGAATCAGATCATTTAAAAGAGCATATGGCCGATCATATTACTATTCATAGCAAAGAAAGTTCTTTCAAATGCGAAATCTGTTACAAGGCTTTTGATCGATTAAGTGTTCTGAAAAGGCACATGCCCATTCACAGTGGTGAGCGCGCCAATGAATGCCATATATGCAAAAAGACTTTCACAGAAAGAGGTAATCTGAAACGTCACATGCTGATGCATAGTGGAGTACGTCCCCATGAATGCAATATATGCAATAAAAAATTTACACAATCAAATGATCTGAAACGTCACATGCTGACACACAGCGGAGTACGTCCCTATGAATGCAATATATGCAATAAGAAATTTACACAATCAAATGATCTGAAACGTCACATGCTGACACACAGTCGAGTACGTCCCCATGAATGCAATATATGCAACAAGACATTCAAACATTTAACTACTCTAAAAAGCCACATGTGCATTCACAGTGGCGAGCGCTCTCAAGAATGTAATATATGCAACAAGACATTCACCCAATCAGGTAGTCTAAAAAGACACATGCTCATACACAGTGGAGTACGTCCCCATGAATGCAATATATGCAATAAGAAATTTACACAATCTGGTAATCTGAAAATACACATGCTGATTCATAAAAGAGAGCATTATGATAAATGTAAAGTATGTAATAAAAAATTTACTCAATCGGGCGATTTGAAGAGACACATGGCACTTCATAGTCAGAAGCGTGGTGAAGATTAATGAAATATAAGCATATTTGTTTACTTAAATTTAAATATTGTAAAACTTCCTTGCATGTAATGAAATGTATAAATTATATGAAATACACAGTAAACACTACATAATATGTATCTTGTTTTATAATTTCTTATTCATATTTTAATTTTTATAAATTATTATTAATGAGGATTAGCAACCATTAGTTTCAGGTTCGAATACAAATACTCATCTTAGTCAGCAGAGTGTATTTGGATATTCACAAAGTTATATTTCACCAAATATAGATTTAAAATAAATTAGTGAATCATTGCTACAATTTTGTATGTGTGCCACCAGATAAGTTCGTTGAAAATGCCTCAAATAAAGAATCTGTGAATATATATTATGTTATATTTTATTAATATATAAAGATGTACATGTGCTTATGAACAATTCAAATAGATTTATATAATTTAAATAAATAACAACTTGTTGCTTATTTATTATTATGTTAGGTATGCGCGTCAAGCGTATTATTATGTATGTATTATTACCACCATAGATAAACAAGTATAATATTATACTTGTTTATCTATGGTGGTAGATATGTTAAAATTGATGGTCGCAGGCATGTATTATTTTAACTCGCATTTAAAAAAAATAAGAAAATTAAACCAATATGTCTACCACATTTTCTAATTTCTTTAAACATTTTTAACCTGATAGATAACTAATAGGTAACCATGGTTAATTATAGTTTTTTTTAACTGTCCGTAGGCTAAGTTATAGTAATCGCAAAAAAAAATCAAAAAATAAAAATTTTTACGTTTTAAGGTTTTGTGAACATTTTGTCATAGCTTAAAAAAATGGATGTATGTGTGTATGTGCTGATACAAATTTTCGTCGACGATATCGGCAACACGGGTCAACCGATTTGAATAATTCAATAAACATACGATTCGTATTGACAAGGAGACGTGCTGATTAGTTTTTGATAAAGGCAGGCCGAGCCGTTTTGAAGATACGGTGCAAAAAGTGCTAAAATTTGTAAGAGATTTTTGAGAGAACGGAGCGTCCGATTTGTATCATTCACCATTTTATTTGTGTTGACGAACTGATGAAATTTTTGGTAAACCAGGTCCAACGGTTTCGGAGATACAGAGGAAAAAGTAAAGAGGAAATATTTGTCGGTCAAGAATGATCATTAGACATATGTTCATCAAATTATCAGTTATTTTATAGAGATTTTAAAAATGAACTAGTTGGTTTGGTATTTAGCCTTGAGGCAAGTCACATGAACTTCCCGATATGTGTAATTAATCGACTTAATCAATAAAAAATAATTTAATTTATGACCCAGTAAACCACAAAACGTAACAAAGCCATGAACGTTACGTAACGCCGGCACGTCCGCACGAACCAGGTACGTAACCTGGGAGGCACACAGAAGCATCTATTTCGCGGGCAAAAACGTAACGGCTGTTTCGTTGCACACTAATACACCGCGGTTACATTTTTGCTACGTATCTAAATTGAATAAAAAAGCGTGTAGGTGTCATTTATGTTACATACTTATTTAATTAAATTTCCTGCAAATATAGAATATTAATAATAATTTCGGATATTTAGTAATTTTATTAAATATTATCATTTACAATATACAAAATTTACATATTACATAGTTAACATTAGAAAACTAAAATTTGATAGTCCATAAAATGTTAGCCTATAAAAATAATTATTTATTTATTCATAATATGTATTATGTTTAACTCTCTTGGCAACTTCAGTTAAATCAGACTTGGCAAAGTTAAGTCTTGCGTTAAATATGTTCAACTCACTTGCATCTGTTAATGTATCTAAAATAGAACCAAACATCTTAGAAACATTGTACACAAATTTTGAATTGAAAACATTGTGAACAAATTAGTCATTTGTGAACATTACCTCTAAACATACTCATTATTTGAAGTTAATGACTATGTAGTTCCTACGATCATATGACAGAGATAATTATTCCATGAACACACACTCAATTTTCTTGCATTGATTTTATCCTATTAATTTTCAAGATCTGAATTACCTAAAAGTAAAACACTACAAATTAGTACTGAATCATATTAGTTAAAATTCTCTTCATGTAGAACCTTAATATACCAATTCTGTAATGCAAGATCATCAGACTCGAAATACTCAACAATTCATGTTCTCTTCAACACTTAATCCATATAATGTGTGATATCCAGTGCATTCTTTGTTTTCCTTCTTGCATGTTTCTTTGGTGACAATTTATCTTCTTGATTAGAGTAATTTTCCCTAGTTTGAATTCCATTTTGACATAACCCATAGGGGTTATGAGCACTCTTTCTCTACAATTGAAAAGCAATTTATATCAGTTTTTGCTTAACTGAATAGTTCTGATACTAATGAAATTATAAAGAATATGTATGATACCATATATATTACACTTATCTACCTCTAATATTCGTATCATATCACTGAGGTTATGTGATTTTTGACTGGTCTGTCAGAAATTTCAATAATTATGTGAAAATCAATTATCACAATACCTAAACAGAATTTGCATTGCACATGACCTATATACTGAAAATAACTAATTAGTCATTAATATAATAATTTGTAAATTAAAAAAAAACAGTGCAATTATACTCACTTTTCCTGGTTTCGTATTAAATATGTGAATTTCCTAAAAGTAAAACATTACAAATTAGTATTAAATCATATTAGTTAAAATTCTCTTTGTGTAAAACATTAATATACCTATTCTGTAATACAATATCATCACTTAAGAAATACTCCACAATTCATTTTCTTTTCAACACTTAATCTTAATATGTGTTCTTATTTATCGATATGTGTCCTTATTTTTCTTCTTGCATGTTTTTAAGCCTTGCTTGTTTTTTTTTTGGTGACAAAGGATTAATAATTTCTAATATATTATCTAACTTTGTATTTATCTTCTCTATTGGAGAAAATTTCCCTAGCTTGAAATCCATTTTCGTAGGGGTTATCAGCACTATAATTTTCTCTACAATTGAAAACCAACTTATATCAATTTGTGCTTAGCTAAATAGTTCTGATACTAATGGAACTATAAAAAATGAATATGTATAAAACTATATAACTTACTTCTCTTTATTCATATATCACTGAATTGAGGTTATGTTTCTGACTGGTGTGTTAGAAATTTCAATTATTACATGACAAATCAATTATCACAATACATGAACAGACTTTGCATTGAAGGCGGCCTATACACTGCAAAGGACTAAACATTATTATAATAATTTATAAATTAAAATATATTTCAGTACAATTAGACTCACCTTGTTTGTCGGTTTCATATTAAATACTTTTCCAGCTGACTGTTTAACTAATTTCTACAACTGATTTCGCACTAAATATAAAAGCAATTAATAAATAACGCTTCAATAAAGGAAATATCTTGCATTTCAAACATACACGATAAAATACTCAATTATGCGTCCACGATGCACTGACCGAGTTAACCTATATTTAATTTGACATTTCGATCATAAAACACTTCACGGCTATTCTCAAAGGCACATGTATGTGACCGTGCAACGTACCACGCCACGTACCGACAGATGCGAACAAAGCAGTATTGTAAACGTTTAAACGCGTCGACGGTGGTTAAAGCTCACAACTATACGTAACA